TGATTACATTAGCCAGTTATTAGTTTTATTATATCTTTTCAAAATATTGTCCATTCACGTCAATACACCGCTGCATGCGATGGAAACACTGGGAAAAGCACTTTGCCCACTCGTCCTTAGGGGTCTCTTCAATGGCATCGCGATACGCAGCCACCGCTTCTTCAGCATTCATAAACCGCTTTCCTTTAAGTTTTTCTTTAATTTTTGAAAATAAATAAAAATCACAAGGCGCGAGGTCGGGGCTATACGGCGGGTGACCCAATAATTCAACGTTTGATGTCGCCAAATAGTCGATCGTTCGCTTGGCGGTGTGCGACGAGGAGTTGTCGTGGTGAAGGAGGATCCTACTGCGAGGTCGTTTCTGTCGAACTTTTTCCAAGACAAGTGGCAAACAATTGGTAGTGTACCATTCTGCAGAAACTGTTTTTTGATCCTCTAACACAATTGTTGCGAAATGACCTATCCTTCCAAAGAACGAGGCCACCATTTTTTTGTGCCGCACTTCGATCTCTCTTCACTTTAGTTGGCAACTCCTCGAAAGGAAACACCCACTGAGCAGATTGTCTTTTGGTTTCAGGATCATAACAGTAAATCCAGCTTTCGTCACCTGTTAGTATGTCGAACACAGCATTTGAGTCACCTCCGTTAAATCTTTCAATCATTTTACGGCACCAATCCACACGATGGAGTTTTTGAGCCTCAGTCAAATTATGAGGTATCCACCGGGCGCAAAGCTTCCTGACCGCTAAATGTTCGTGGAGGATTTTGTGCACTTGACTCATACCGATGCCTAAGCTTGTCCGAATCTGCTGATAGGTCACTCTTTTGTCAGTCTCTATCATACGCCGCACAACACATATGTTATCTTCAGTCGTCGCCGTAGAAGGCCGTCCCTCACGTAAATCATCAGTGAGATTAGTGCGACCACGTTTAAACTCATTAAACCAGTTCATCGTGAAAGGCCAATCGTAGTCTATCATAACTTTCTTGTTGACTTAAATGACATCGAAAGTCATAAAAAATCATTGCACGAAAATTTTCTCGTGTTAAATTCATGTTGACGTGACACAGACAATTTTCAATTTGCCGCCAAATCGTAAAACAAATGACAAATGAATGAAATATATACTCAGTAATATTGGCAAAGAGTTCTATTTTCAAATTTAAGAATTATTTTTTTATTATATTGTTTATAAGTGGCCAGTTCTAAGAACTTTCAGTTTGACCCTCGTATACTTACATATACCAATGATTTTTTTAAATCAACAAGTAAGTAGAACACGTGTACGATTATACATTTTTAAATAGCTTTCCTTTCGTTTGTAAAAATAAATTATTTCTGAAATAAAGCCAGTGTTCCTGCCGTTCGACCCAAGTAAAATGAACCCTATTAGTGCAGGAAAACTTTGTTTTCGCGCCGAGGCAGTATCGGCTGTTAATAACCAGTGGTTATAATTAAGGGAATTTAATTGAGCTAAAGTAAAGAATAGTGGATTTTCCCTTTTACAAATACCGGGACTTCTCGGAACTTAATATATTTGAATATGCGTATTATTTATTGAAATTTGAATACATTGGCGACAAATTATTATTTCGTGTTAAGTATTTGCTACAAATTATTGTCTCAAAAAATAATAATTTACTTGTGTTTCTTATATACGTTTTTACTTACGTACTTACTTACTATTACTTTATCTTTAGCCTTTTAAAAAATAAACATGAGCCAACCCACATTTTGGAACGTTTAGAAAATAAACCGTAGAAAAAGAACTTTTATACGCATTGTTGACGACAATGGGTATGTCCGTATTAAGAAAAGATCATACTTTGGTTAAATTAACTCATTATTATTATTAAAAGCAATTCGCTTTTCTTTCACTTCAAAAAAGGAAGTGGTTCTCAATTCGACTGTATGTTTTTTTTTTGTATGTATATTACATGATAACTCCGGTATTTGTGAACCGATTTTGATGATTCTTTTTTTTTTTGAAAGAGGGTACCACCATGGTGGTACCATTTCTTTTTGAAGAAAATTTTCCACCTCTAAGGGTAGCTGTTCACGCATGAACATTCATTTTTATAAATAGCGCCTAAATTTTACTTAAGGAGCAATTATTTTAATGGTTGCTTTTGCTATTCTTCAATTCAAGGCGTTTTTCTCTCTCAATATATATATCTCTCTAAATATTATTATCTTCTGTGTCAAGTCCTGTATGGTGACGAACTAGGGGATATTTCAATAAAACTTGGCAAATAGATGTAATTCCACGTACTTTTGAGGTCGGGTTTTCTTGTACTCTGTACTGAGATTATTAGTAGGCTCTAATTGGCTTGAGTTCATCGGAATCAAATTCAGGATATTTTGTTTGTCGTCCCGGACGTTTGCTGTTAAATTTATGTTCTTTAGGGCTTTTTTATGATACCGAACGACGGGATGAACAAGTCGTGCGCCTGGTAGAAATCGACTCGCATTGCCTTATGGACAGTTGCAGTGCCACTCAGAGCATTAAGCCTTAACCGGTATCGTTATTTTGGTCAACGTAACTGCAATCACGGGTCAATGTGGACCCTCCAATTAAAAGCCTACATAACTCCTAACAAAGTTACAATAAACATAATAAATGGTTTACGAGTGTATTAAAACAAGTTTTATTTAAAATATAAATATCTTTAAATTGTATTAATTTATGACATTTTTGGACTTGCATTGCATTGCAGCAAGATTTTTTTTATACCCTACTTTAGCACTCTATATGAAAATTAAAAAAAAGAACAAAGGAAAATCTAGTCATACTACGGGATTTTGCGTATCTTACAAAAATAGAAACTACGCGATCAATTAAAAACAATAAAACTAACGTAATTTAAAAATGATATTGTGACTTCTGACTTTGAAGATGTTAAGTGAGTGGGTGGGTGGACAACTTGAATCGACTTTTACCTAGATACCGCGGGCCAATTCAACCCGGCGACTGCACATACTTCAACTTCCAGTAAGTTTCAAGCTTCGAACGTCCAGCACCCGCTGCACCATGCGACGTTATGAGATTGATTAGTTTGTCAAAGGTAAAACTACGCGCGTTTTGAAATCAAACGTTTTTTTTATTGTTCTCATGTCCAAATTGACTCACGATTCCGGCTAAGGGTTAAATCGCAAAGCTCTGAGGGGCACTTCTACTGCACCCTTCACCTTAAGGCACATGTTGACGAGTCCCATGTCCCTGTAATTTCACCAGCACCCTTACTTTTCAAAATCGGAACGCTATGATGCTTACGTAACTGCTTGGCGGGAGGGTAATAAACGAAAGGGTACATTAATTACTGCATTCGTATTCTAACCCGATCTCGAAACAATTTTGAACTGTAGGTTAAGCATCCGTTGTAGTTGTAGATATTCAAGTACATATTGAAGTGTAGATATTGCTGATAAAATGAACCTTGTGACATTTCGGACCGTCCTTTCTCAGTTTCGGAACTGATACAAGGCGGACGTATATAGTTCGGAAACGCTCGTAAAGTCTGCTGAGTATCCAATTCCTCGAATACTTCAGTAGAAGTATTGTTTTTGGTATCGACGAGTTGGTAGCTTCCAGATGGTGACCTTATTTGATTTTTAGACACTACTTTGTATGGAGAGTTTTTTTTATTTAACAAAGTTTTTTTTTAATCTGTAATACCACGGACCAATAATTGGTAAATCATCCATGATATAGATTGTACCTCTGTAAAAGGTCAAAATTCCGTCTTATTTCTAAATGGCGCTGATCAGTAGCTCGGGGGCCTATCACAACCTCTTAAAACAATATTACTTTAATCTTAAATTGACTTTTCGTACCATGACGCGCTTAAAGTAAGCTTATTATAATCTGATGGACCTTTGAGTAAAAGTGTTTTAACTTGACCCATTGAATTTATAACTCCAGATTTCATGGTTTGTAAGAGAGATTTCATCCTCATAATTGACCCTATCGATTGATTTAATAAAAGTACAGAGTGCATTTTTTTAAACATTTTAGTGGGTTCGATTCCCGCGTGTGGCTAGCAATTTTCGGAAACCTTTGAATGCAGTATTATTTCTTTTTTAATAATAAAGGAATGTTTCCTTTAAGTAAAAATTTCTGTCTCCAGTATTTAACGTACTTTCCTTCCAAGTGGTATTACAAATTTCCACCCTGTATATGCTCCTTGGCGACACTAACAGTTGACACTAGACTATAATTCCGAATTCAAAACGTGACAATCAAGACTCAGTTTTATTTATTTTTCTTCGTGAAACTGCGGAAAAATAATTGTAAACAACGTAATTTGAATAGATTTCATTATTACATACTTTTCTTTTTTTGGCAGTTAAAATTCTCTGAATGTAAATAATATTAAGTACTTTAACATCATGCTACGATAGGACGATTCGAAACATCATAAAAGAAAGAGATGGCAATAGAGAGATATTTTTGGTGAGGAATAGACAATATTGGGAAATCATTCGTTCTTTCAGTCACTTTAGCAATAATACATTACTTGGTTGATAGGTTTGTCATGGTACGAATATGAGCAATGTTATAATAATTACTGTAAGCTTAAATTGAAATAAGATTGTTTTTTGAAAGGTTATGGTAGGCCCCCTGAAGGTGGTTTATATAATGTAAATGGCCGTGGATATCTATTAATTCCTCTTTAATTTGAAATATAAATAATCAGTTTTTTTTCTGATATGCAAATATGCATGTCAATAGATGGCGTTGTGTGTTACAAACTAATTTATAAATTAACGCTCATTAATATGGATAGGTGGCGCTAATCATAAACAAAATAAAAGAATAGCCGGCACTATCCATAAAAAATTGTGAAAATAAGCTCCATCTAGTTGATTTATTTGTATTCGATACTCGCGGCGACATCTCGTGTACCAATATTGATCGGAGTTATTGGTCGATGGTAATACCGATAATGTCTTTCGAAAACAGATATGCAAAACATTTCAGTGTGATTTATTTTTACAGAGCTACTTCGTGACGGACTACGACCCTACGATAGAGGACAGTTATACCAAGCAATGTGTCATCGACGATATACCAGCTAAACTCGATAGTAAGTACAAGAACCATATCGATTTCATCTTTATCGCCACCATCTTCATCATCATCGTCGCCAACGCATCGTCCACTCTTTACGTCAATAAACTAAATCCCCCGTAACACCGCCGTGATAAAGGTATTATATCTAGATTTAGCTGTCAAATTCGAGTGATAATTTTATCACAATTGCTAACATGGCGAGTACCGTGAACTCATGTTTCTGTGAAGAATATCGCAGTGCCGAACCTGGCCACAAGGTCACAGCTGAAAAAGTATTTTTCATCACACTTGTTTGTAAATAGTGTAATGTCATTAAAGCAAAGTCGGCCGTAATGTTCTAAATTACGCTCATGGGCTTGTTCATTACTTAATTGCGCTTAAAAATTTGAATGTATTTCATAAACTTGAAGTATAGAAATAAAAACGAAACATTTTCAATTTAACAACACTTTACCTAATTAATTTTATAAATTCAAATTCTGCAGTGTTTTTAGTATTTGAAATTATTTATTTTATGTCTAATACATCATGGCTGTGTGCGTTTTTACCTTTTACAACGTTTTAATTCGAGAGATTACGGAAGAATATGCCGTTTAGTTGCCAATTAGTTGGCCATCTGTTTATTGGAAAATAAAAAAAATAAAACCCGCCAATTACAAAATCTTTAATTGTAGTATTGTGAAGCGACATTTATTTATATAAGAAATAAATTATCGTTGTTTTTCATTTCTCGCAAATGTGTTGAAAACAATATATGTAACACGGGCGGTAAAAAATTACTAATCTCGATTCATTAAAGCCAATGGACTCTCCGGCCTTAATTCTATGTGGTCCAAATATATTGAATCTCACATCACTGAATCAAATAGCGCCGGCGATTAGCCGACGAAGTGAGATTTGCATTTTTCGATATAAAACATTTTATAAAATTGCTACGTTCATTCCAAAGAGCGACTTTCTACTAAATATGCGTCGGAAAAAATTAAGTCTTAGAATCTTTGAGACTTGTGAGATTTTATCCTTTGTGTTAAAATGTTCCTTCATCTTTTTGAGTTAATATGAAAGATGGCCGCCTTTGAGACTGAGATTTTGTCCTTAGTATTAAAATTTTCCTCCACATTCCGTATTCTTTTTGAGCTGAAAATGAATGATGGTCGCCTTTGAAAATAAATGTTATTATAGTTTGCGTAGTGGGCAGACGCTCGACTACGCAAAGCTCTAACTACTCAGACTTTGAAGAAAGCTTTTAATAAGGCTGCCAAGAAGTGCAAAAGCGTGTTACGTAGGGCAAGTTCGACCATGTGCGCCGCAAGGGGCTTGCCTCTAATCCAGCAGGCAGCAAATCCTTTAGTTCTCTGGTCAAAGCGGTCGAATCTAACTTTTGTTGCCCATCTTTGCCACCTGCTGAGGCCGGATGGCTCGCTGGCTCATACTGCGAAAGAGAAGGCGAATCTCTGTGCCTCACCCTTTGCGGATTGTCTGCAACTCTCTTTCTGCTGCATATCAATGATATGTTAATTCCAAATACCTTTGCGTATGCTGATGACAGCACAGTTGTAGATAGGTACTTGACCAATGCAAGGTTCAGTGGAGAGGAAATCCAGTCTTGTCGAGAGTCCATGATTGGCCGTTTAGATTTGACACTTCAGGCAGTCTCCAATTGGGGCAATGTGAATCTTGTCAAATTTAATCCTACCAAAACGCAGGCATGTCTATTCTCCACAAAACGGAGTCCCTTTGATCTGACTCCGACTTTTCATGATATATCCATACCGATAGCCGATTGTCTTCAGCTACTTGGAATGAACCTGTCGTCCAATTTGAACTTCGGCAAATACATTGAATCCATAGCCAAAAATGCAGCAAGGAAGCTTGGGATCCTTACCAGGGTGAGACGTTACTTTACACCGGAACAGTTGCTTCAGCTGTACCAAGCCCAAGTCGATCGTGTATGGAGTACTACTGCCTTTGGGATGGATCTGCTACATATCAACTGGATATTTTAGATTCAATTGACAACTTATAGAGGTTTATAGGTGACTCGGAATTAGTGGAGGCGAAGCTGCAGAGCCTTGAACACCGCCGTAAAGTTGCTTGCTTATTCGTATTTTACAGGATATATCACGGAGAGTGTGCGATGGAATTACACGATTTAATTCCGCCTTCCCCTTTCCATCACCGGGGGACTAGGCGTAGGCTTGGGTTCCACCCCTATATTGTGGATATTCCAAAAATTCGCACGAAGCATTACGCTTCTTTACAGGGCATTTTGAGCTTCGCTTGACCACGGAGGAAGGCAACATTAATATCATTATTATCGTCAAGCCATTATACAATCCACTACCGGGCTTGGATCTCCTCTATGAAAAGGGTTTTAGACCATAATCTGTCACGCCGTCCCAATTCGGATTGGGAATTTTGGGGGAGAGTTATTGATACTAAATATTCACAAACTTACGTAACTTAAAAACTTGAAAATAAAAAAGTTAAAGTCACTACTCGCTGCCAATTTTTTTTTGTTTTGTTTTGACAGTAACCAGTAAGAACCTATATTTTTTCCGGGTTAACGGATAACCCTACTAACCTACCGTACTTATTCAATAATTTACGTATTAATAATACAATAATTTTAAAGAAAAACTTCATTCTCTTATCAAACTAATTTTTTTTATTCAAAATATCTATTTGAGACATAGTTACTATTACATTTAACATATCATAATATCGTAATATCACATTGTAGTCAAATAATAAGTTTAAGTAGCCATTATAATGGCAGTAACGTGCGCCCGTGCGAAGTTGCCAGCGCGCGATTTTACTCTTAGCTCAGTAATTAAATTTAAAAACCTTTAAACTAATGTCGAAAATACATTACTTAAAGAGTAAAACGACATCATTAACTTTTTTTTTTAAATCTAGAAATATCCTAAATTTTAACGTCAAGCGCTGCCATACATTCAATATGGCATTCGTAGAGAGGCTTTAGTTTCGAAGAACTGCGTTAAAATTGTGGTTTTTTTTAAGATATATATTATAAAATTATTGATGTCGTTTACTCATTGGGTAATGTACTTTGAAATTAGTTTAAAGTTTTAAAATCACAGCCATTAAATTAATTGGTCGCAAGAAAAAACATGTTATAGTGAAAATGAAATCAGCCTGCAAAATTTGTATGTAAGTACAATGCATTTTTTGCATTTCAGTTTCTGCTTTAAGATACGAGTTTTGAGAAAGTAAAGCTACGATATTTGAATAATTATTATAATATTAATGCTTTACAAAAAAATTACGAAAACGATTTTTTAATGCAGTTACTCAAAACGTGGTATTTTTCGTACCACAAATCGTGCCGAAAGTTGGATTTTTAGCACTAGTGCTTTTTAATTTTTCCATTGTTTTTTAATTTACTGTTGTTTCAAGTCTTAAACATAGAACTAAAGAGGTTGTATATTTATTTAATATTTATGTGCTTTGTGACGTAGGTAAGTCATTCATCATTAAAACTTATATATATGTATATATAATATGGCTTGTTAAGTATTAACAATGACCGGAGGTGAGTATTACGCCAGACCGCTGCGCGTCGTTTCACCTTCGTCGCTGGTTCGGGCCAAGAAGCCTCGAGACTCGCGAATGACTAACTTTCCGCACTTGTATCAAAAATCACTATATGTGTCATTATTTGTATGGATGTTTGTGATCATAATGGGATATGTAGATATTAAATTAGAGACTTTACAATTTCGACAAATTTTTGGATATGGTTACTCTTCTTTATACATTGCATGTCAGAAACAGAAATGGCTAAATGTGTGAAACAGCATTCTGTAAACATTACCATCATAGTTGATTCCGTCACAACTAACGGGCTCAATTGAGTTCAAAAATACTTTATTCTCATTAAGACAATTGTCACTTACATGAGAACTTCAAAACTAATCAGTAAATTAACAATATTCCACTGTTCATTCAACTGTTTACAAATTTATATTATTATTATACAAATTAAGTCTTTATTTCAGCAATGAATAGTCGTTAATAATACGTTTATACAATGTTGTTAAATCAATTAATAAACTAAATGACTCCGCATCCTTCACATTCGAGGGCAGTTTGTTAAAGATAGAGTGCAACTCTTTCAAAACCTATCGTCCTCTTGCCGTAGTTAATTCTGATCATGGGCAGGATTAGATATGGGCTCTGCGGCTGATATTGTACTTATGCGATTGTCTTTTTTGCTTAATGTAAGCTCAGTGTGAATGTTCCTGTGTAAAATATTTTAGGAATAAGAATGCATGTTGTGTAATTGTTTAATTTTCATAATTTTCCTTGCATACCTTTTCAGTTGATTACAACCTGTATATTACATTTTCATCAATTTCAGATACGAAAATAGTCGCTATCTGAATATACTCGTTAGTACGAATTCATTCACGATTGACCGACGTTCTGCCACTGGTATATACAAATGCAGCGAGCGTAAATACATTACAGAAGCCCGCATCGCCACCTATTTGGACATGACACGAGACGTACGTAGCGAGGCATTCACTTTGGTTCGAGGCATAATCATAAAATGGATTGGAAATTATACTATTTTTACGGATCTAAATCCATTCCACCCGTGAACCATGGGATCTGTAATGAGTTGCTTTTTTTAAAAAAAAAAAGCGTCTTGCCACGCGTAACTACAACACTTATAAGCACGCAAGATACAATAGTGCCCTTCATTTAACGGATTAAGTTATTCAACACTTAAATTGAGTATCAATATTAATAGTAATTATTTTAACAAAAAACTTCTGTATGGCGGCAGAAAATGTTGCCATTTAATTTTTTAATTGCAACTACTGTTCACATATAACACGAACGTCTACTAGCGTTCTTTACGTAGTACGATTAAAATAAAACATCCAAACATTATATTTACGTAAACTCTGTTTACGGTTTAACATTTGTATGAATATCTTATTATAATAATTATGTTACATTGTTTTAAGAAAGCTTTCCACC